TTACGATATCTTAAGTACTGTCAGGGCGCATGTCGCCAGTTGCTGTATCGCTGTTTGCATGCAAGACAAGTGTGAATAATCGGAGTGTGAATGCAAAACAGTATATAATGACGAATTCTCCGATGAGCACTCCGAGCCAGTGTCCCAGGTCTATTTGTCCCACCGTGCTCAAAGCATCCCACCGTAGAGAGGCAGAGAGAACTTGTTTAGGCAAAATCAATTTTGGTTCACCAAACACTTCGCCCCCCCCCCCCTCCTCCCCCTAGTAGTAGAACGCATGTTTTGCAAGTATGAAGTTATCAATTCACGTCTGATCATCTCCAATTTCCCCATGAGCCCACGTAGCTCAGGTGGTAGTATGGTATGATTTTTTCTCACTTTTTTCCTTTTTCCCAATGATTCTGTTATGCTATTTTTGGAGAGCATCACTCTCCTAGACAGACATCTCAGGGATTTCCTGGGGCACGGTCCCACTAGCACCCGGATCAGCCTTAGCTATATCCGGGGAACATGTGTTTTCCGTACAACATTGTAGTCCGATCCGTAAGGGCCGCCCATTCGACCCAGATCTGACGGCACTGCTTTTTTCATCAACTGTTTGGTTCCTTTCGCTTTTTTCATGTCTTCTAAATGAAAATGGACCGCCCTCCCATTGGCCATGCATAAAAAAGAGAAAAGAAAATGCATGCGAGGGTTGTCTTCTCTCTAGAGCACAGTATTTTTGGGTAGAGGGCGGTCATGAGTTCCCTGAAAAATAATTCAGAAAAGTGGATTATAAATCAGGAAATTGGAAAATATTCTGAGCTGGCGGTTGCCCTGTGAGAATGGGAAGCGCCGTCCTTCCATGCTCATGAGTTCAGCATCAGAGGCTGGCTCAGCACTGTAGTGTATCGGGTGCTTTATACAGCCCCATACATTTTCAAGAAACTTTCCTCTCAGTGCTATGACACCCGCTCAGACTCAGAAACGGAACCACTAGCAGCTGAAACGATAACATTTATGCAATGCGGGAACCACTAGCAGCATTTCGTCTGCTCCCACATTTCGAATGTGTCGGCCCAAGGACAGGTCCAGAGACATTTAGTATGCTGTGTTGTCTCTCCCCCCCCTCTCTCTCTTGTGTGTTGTCAGCGCGCCTTCCCACTCGCTGAAACTGCTCCGCGTGTACCACCGATTAACGGCCTCGCTCCACTACTTCCCACATACACAAAAGGCCAAAAATATGGCAATGTATCTTCCCTTGTTGTAGCGTAAGATTCCTTAAAATTTTGCATATTTGGCGAATAATGGAGCAAGGCCCTATCTCTACTGCACTCCCTGCAACTGTTCCGTGCGTCTCTCTCTCTCTCTCTCTCTCTCTCTCTCTCTCTCTCTCTCTCTCTCTCTCTGTCTCTCTGATTTCTGTTTTTTCTAATTTATTTCTAACTATTTCTTGAAGTCTCTTTAACAAGGAAAACACATCTTACGGATATAGCTAAGGCTACTCCGGGTGCTAGTGGACTGTGCCCCTGGTTGGCGGTAATTGTATGAGGATGGTTTGCAGGAAGAAGGACATGATCCCATCGGCATTGCCATATCTCGAGTTTTTAGACAGACGAGTTTTTCTTGGCCGCTATCGTTTTCTGCTCTGCTCACCTGTTCATTGAGAAACTAAGGAAACAAACCTACCCGGGCGCCATGTACCATCAGACTCTGGGCCGATTCGTCTGAAGATGCGCACCAGCTTGGGGAGGCCGAGCGCTTGGTCCTCCAGACAGACCTTTGAGGAATAACCAATGGACGGTTATTTCCGGTCCCTGTTTTTTTTACATTTTTTGGACTTGTTTTGATCTTTTTCATCTGTCCTGAGTCCGAGTAGAATCAACCCCGTTCTTATCGGGCTCTGTCCATAGGCATCTGTTTGTTTCTGAGGAAACACTTTTTCTCTTTGTTCTGAGCTGAGCCAGAGTAGAACTAGCCCTGGTCTTATTGGGTCTTGTCTGTAGACATCTATTTGTTTTTTGCTGTCAGAATCGCTCTTTTTTGGGGTACAATCCATGTTGCACCCCGCCGGTCGGCGGCCCTTGACTGTCTGCTGCCGACCTGCCGACCGGTCGGCTGGTCGGCACCTACCAGTCGGGGGTTGTCGGCACCCCACAATTTTTTATTTTTTTTTTGGGGGAGGAGCGGCCCCAGGGGGTCCAGAACCCCTAATAAACATCACCAACACCCCCATAGCAGCCCCCAATACCCCCATACCCCCCCCCAACACCCCCAAACCGCCCCCCAACACCCTCATTACCGCCCCCAATACACCCTATACCACCCCTATACCGCCCTATACCCCCCCTATACTCCAATCCCAACCCCCCCCATACCCACCCCCGATCCCCAAAAGTTTCTCAGCGGATTTGGGCTGTACTCAGCAAGCGCAGTACAGCCCCTAACTCATATTTGAATAACAATCAGTGGATGGTTGTTTCCTGACTGGTCGGGAGACCGCCGACCAGTCGGCCCTACTGGTCGGCTGCAATACGGTCGGTGGTCGGGGTCGGTGGTCAGCAGGCATGCAACCCTGGGTACATAGGATAATCTGAATTTAGGTAGGGTCTGTCAAAAACAGAGACGATACTTGGTAACGTTTGGCGGGCCATGCAATTGTGAACCAAGTTTCGGAAAGACGACGAAACGAGTAATGGTTGATACCTACTATCAATTTCTTCTGTCGTAGGGAGTAGGACCCCTTCAATCGACACGAAACCCCCATGAGGATGGCTGGGGCTGGCACCAGAAGAAATGCGGCGTCGGGGAGCCACCGGACGCCTTGTTCCGTGCTTACTGCTGTTTTCAACTTTTCATAACCTTCAAGGCAATGATTCGTGTTGTTTGACTGAAGATGTTGTCATATTTCTCTGTTCATACTCATGGACTACTACCCTGCTTGTATCTTTGCGATGCAGGATATCGGCACTGATACTATCACACTCACCTCTTCTCCGAGAAAGACAGAGATCTGGTTATGGTATGGTGTTCTTCAAAAGCCCGGCTCCACCAGACAGACATCTAAAGCATTCTTTGTAGGAGGGCGATTCGTGGATCGTAAATAGAGAATGTACTTATAGAAATCCCCATCAACCAAGCGCAAGTACGCAGTCTCTATGGCATTGAGTTATCTATGGGTACATTTTTATTTCTCCTCTTCTTCGTCTTCTTCTTCGTCTTCTGCTTCTTCCTCAGTTCTTTTTGTTCTTCCTCAGTTCTTCTTCTTCTTCCTCTACCACATCCCTTCATCTGTGAATATCGAGCAGGGACACCAGTGTCTATGTAGTATGTACATCTCCTCTGCGCCAGTCTGCCAGTTGTTCACTGGCCACATTCTCATCTGGGTGTGTGCTGTGACCTCCCCTTTCCCATAGTACTGACGTTGGCATCCCAGCACTTGACTCGAACATGTGAAGATGTGGAGTTTGCAAAGATGGCAGAACGAAAAGCAAAGAAAAGGCAACACACGCTTATGAGATTTCTCCCCAATTCCCCCCGAAAACGAGCTCCTACGCACCATCTCCTGCCATCCATCCATCCATCCATCCATCGAACAGATACATCTCCAGCTCGTATTTCGATAACTCTCCGTACACATCTCATCATGGCAATTTTGTTGCACTCAGGTCCACGCCAAGGGGGGGGGAAGATGCTTACCTGAGTCCCTCAACAACCTGCAGCTCATCATCTGCTGCTAAGTTGAGTCGTGAGCTGCTGTCAATGCCCTCCCCAGCCATGACACGCTGATACACGTGCAGCAAAGCATCGATTGAACCAACCAGATGGTCTCGGCAGGCTAGGTAGGCCAGTTTGCGCCACACGAAAATCACAGTCAAATCACAGAAAATATTAGCAACCGATTCGATCGAGCTTCAGCAATAATTAGGTTTTGAACTTTTGAACGCCATACAGTGACAAAAAGAGAAAGAAAAATGTTCATGGTTGGCCATAACTTTGCAATAACTCTTTTATTCCATCGGCGTCTGCAATCTTTATTCTGATACTATCTTCTTCAGGTACCATGGAATTATTTACATCTTATACTCAATGAAACCCTCAGACAGTGATCAGTAGTCATGGATGCTCACTTTCTGGCCTTAGGCCCATCCGTGCATGCACAGAATCGAGCCTGCACCCTAGACCACAAGAGCCAAGTCTCTTAACCACTACAGCCAGGACAGGCCAAGAGAGTGACACAGGTTGAAGAAGGGGGAAAAAAAAAAACTCGAAAAGAAAAGAGACTAGCTGGGGGAAGGGTAGGAATAGTCAGTCAGTCAGTCAGTCGGAAAAAAAAAAAAAAAAAAAAAAAAAAGAGGAATAATCAGTCAAGTTGAGTCAACCGATTTGTATAGTAGTTAGATGGGTAAGGGGCGTGGCTGATCCCAAGGGACAGTACTGAGAGGGGTAGATGTGGTAGCAGCTATAGTGCGACAATAGGAGGAAGTGGGGGGGTAGGCCAGCAAGTGGGAGGGGCCAATAGGGGTCGGGAAGTAAGGGCAGTTGAGGGAATGTAGGGGGAACGGGGCAAAGGGGGTAGAGGGTGGGATGGTGGGAAACATGAAAAATAACCATAAAATCATCACAAAACACTCTCAAGCAGATAGGAGGACAAGGTGATGGGGGCTGTAAGTGCCGGGGATGTAACATTGGTGTGTTGGGCGTCCGTTTGGATTTTTGAGGGGCTGATATAGGTGGTACAGGGTCCAAAGGTGAGGAAGGAGTGAGGACCGTATGTAAACAGCTGGTCAGAGGCCGGTATGGAAGCGGCGCGGATTTGATGCGAACCAAACAAGGGATACAGGTATAGGTGCTACAGAGACAATGAACGATGATGGATCATACTAGAAACAGGATGCTAAGCGGCCTGAGGAGCAGTTAGGAGCMCCCCCCCCCCCCCACCTCGCCTATCCGAAGGTTGCCCTGCTGCGTGACTGGGTGCTGCCAGTAAGCCTCCCGGCCAGCACGGCAACCCTCCGAAAGGTCACGGTTTGGAGGGAGGACCGCCCCGAAGAAGTCCCCCCCTTGCTAGGTGACTAGTGCCACAAGGGATGGGCTAACCCTCTGTCCCGTCTGTTCCTCCCCCTTTTCTTCAGTTGTAAGAAAATGCTTGCCGGTGATGAGCAACCGGACTGAGGTCCCCCAGAATAGAAGGGGCGTATGTTTGTTGGAAAAAGAAAGAAAGAAAGAAAAGAATCGATGGCCCGCTGAAAACCCCCTTCAAAATGGTATGGCCATTACAACAGGGTCATACAGCTTCGAGGAGATCAGGGTGAGGCCTGCTTTATGCACGGCCATCTCGGCATGCATGGCCGTTGTCTCACGTGAGCTGAAACCCTGCAGGAACTCCAAGGTAGAGAGGCGAGGAGTGAAATGGACCCGATACTGCAATCACACCCGGAGGTTGAGAGTGGCATGGCGGGAACTTGGTGAAATGGCCCCGATACTGCAATCAAACCCGGAACGGCATGGCGGGAACTGGAACTTCGATGGATGGGCTGATACTGCATGAGGCGGGGGTGATCGGCCATGAACCGGGGGAGGCATCCAGGGGGAGGGCGGCAGGGCAGCAACATAGAAGGAGAGCAAAGAAATCCGGGGGGTATCGACGTAACATCCATTGGAAGGGAGGAGGAGACGATCCCATGCAAACTGATGAACCATATTGGTTGTTTCGGAACGAATGGAAAAGGAAAGCAGGACAACCTTCGAAGGAAGAAAGAGAGTCCAAGATGACAGGAGCAGAACAGCAACCTAAAGAAGTCAGAACTGAGGAGGAAGCGGGCCAGGGGGAGCCCGACAAAGGATTGGATCAGCAGCTTGGCGAGCTGAGGGGAAGGGTGGCGGAACGGACACAAGAGCAGGTGGAGCAAGAATAGGGAGGTGAGGGAGATCGAACTAGCAGTCGTCAGGGGAGGCAAGTGGGGGAAGGGAGTGATGAGGGGGTGAGAAAGAAAGAGGGAGAAAGGGGAAATGGTGCAAGGGCGGGAGGGGAATATGGAAGATAAAACGGCCAACCTGGGGAGCAGCCTGCACAAAGGAGCCGAGAATGAGAATCGTGGACAGGATCGGAAGGAAGATAGAATGGAATCGTTGAAGCCAGCTGGGAGCCAGCGATTGGACATGGCCAAGGATGGCCAGGCGAGTGCAAAGGAAAACGTGGATCAGGTGGGGACGGACAATGAAAGGGGTGGGTCTGGAATACAGGAGGGGAGGGTGACGGGAAAGGAAGAGGCACCCTCGGGAGAGTCCAGAACACGCCACGCCCTGGATAGGCCGGAGTACGATATGTCCATCGTGACAGAGAAGGATAGGCAGAGCTGGCCATCGGGGGAAGCAGGATGAAGAGTTAAGCAGTTGACAAAGGGACCGTCTAAGAGCTCCTCGTCAGCAGAATGCTTCCCGGTCCTGACCTTTTCATCAACAACCGCAGAGTCATCTGCGCAAAGGTCACATGGTCAGAGGACCCTGCGGGAGAGGGAACGGTCCCGGCCGGGAACATTGGGATATGAGCCGAGGTATTGGCTCCGAGGAAACACACGCAGGGACGTTTCACCGCCACAGTCATCATCAGTATCCCCTATCCCCAGGGAGGCAGGATATGGGATGCCAGTAGAGGGGCTAACAGCGACATTCAGTAGTTATGGGAAGGAAACGGACTCTGACACTGCAGACACTTCGGACACAGACACCCCGGGCGGCGGCCAGGGGGCGACGCAACAGCCAGGGGAACACGAGGATGGAGGGATAGGGTTTCAGGAGGAGGAGGAGGAGCGAGGGGCTCGAAGGGAAGCTTCACTGGAGAGTGAAGTGCCAAGCAAAACAGATGGGGAAGGCGCCTCAACTCGAGAAGACAAGACTGGAATGAAGGACGATCCTGCAGAGGAAAGGGATGACCAGCAGGGTCCGTCGGTAGAACTGGTACGACAAGACCGGGCGGAGACGGAATTGAAAGCTATATTGCAAGAGGGGAAATGTTATGTCTGCCCTGTCACTTTGTGGAGGACAGAGGAGGGGATCAGGATCTTGATGGATGGGCCGACAGAGGTGCCAGTTTTCAGTGTGAACAAGCTCCCACAAGAATGGCTTGTGCTCCAAAAGGTGGCACAGTGGGTTGGACCTAAATACGAGGTTATGGCACTGCCTGCCATCTCAGCTACAAGATTTATTCATCGAACATCCGAAGAGAAAGAATATGCGGTGATCATCTACTTCATGGAAGTCCTCCCGAAGAAACCGGGGATGCCAAGGCTGCGCTGTAGAAGCATGCAATGGCTTGACTTTGCACAAGTCTACGGCCTGGCAAAAATCCCGACAGATTATCAAATTATACACATGTCCTCCCTGGCCATCCGGAACAGCGTGAACGCACACTTGTCACAAGAAGGGAGGCACACAGTTCCTGGAGGGGACGGGGATTTGGGTGAGGGGGGAATGAATGGTATAAGGATAATATTATCCCGTAGGGTGTCGTCGGATGTGTGACACCCCCCCAGCAACGGAAAAGAGTAGGACATTAGAAACGGTAGGGAGCGAATAAGAGAGACTTGTAGAAGGAAGGAGGGGTGATGAGGGGGAGTAGACATTGGAATCAGCTGAAAGTAATGACATGGAATGTCAGGGGCATGGGGGTGCGATGGCTATTGGCTAAGCGGAAGGAGTTGGCAGCGAAAGTTAAAGACGAACAGATCGATGTGGTCTGTCTTCAGGAGACCAAGTTGGATGAGAGCAAGATAGCAGAACCAGTGCTCTGGTGGAGGGGCCATCAAGTATGGGCCCTGGCACAAGGCACTAAAGGGGAAGTGTGCATCTTGATCTCCCCTCGTTTTAGGGGAGAGGTGCGGGACTCAAGGGGCCGGTGGGCATGGGTGATCTTGCAATGGGGGAATCGTTACAGTATATGGTCCATCAGAAACCAGGGCACAAAGAAGAATGTGGGAGCAGTTGCAGAACCTGGTGCCTGAGGTGGATAAGGTTATCATAACTGGTGACTTCAACTCGGTTGCTGACCCGGTGCTGGACTCTGCCAGACCAAGGCATGCAGAGACAGACTCGATCGCACTTCTAAACGGAATGACAGGGCTGGGTTGCACAGACTTATATCGGACCTTATACCCGCAAGATAGGGCCTTCACATTCTGGGGGAACACTAACCAGGAGAAGCAGAATAGATAAGATTTGGGTGTCGATGGATCTTAACGAAGTCATCGAGCGGGCCCATATAAGCCCGATGGCTACATCGGATCATTCGGCGGTGATAGCAAGCTACCCGGAGGGGCAGTTGGAGATGGGCCACCCCCCGAAGGCAATTCCGGCATGGGTTTTTAAAAGCACAGAGTATCAGCCTGTGGTGGCCCGATTTCGGGAAGAATGCGTGAAAGACTGCCCGCAGGATAACCCACATTGCGTCGGTAATCCAGGACCTGCGAGAGACACTGGTGAATCAGCTACATGGCAACTACTTGGCGCACCAACGAACAGGGGAGGAGTTCTCCTGCAGGATGGAAGAACTGAACGGGGGTCCGACAGGAGAGCAAACAGAGGATGAATGGTGGGTTGAGCGGGTGGAGCCGGCTCGAGGCTGGACGGAATGGCAGCGGGAGTAGGCTATTAAATGGGGAAGGCAAACCAAGGAGTCATGGATTGTGGTAGGGGAACGCATGTGGAGGAAATTCTTTACCATGGCTGGTGCACGAAAGGCCGCCGATGAAGACAGCCATGGACCATGGCTTCGATGAGAATCAGCCAAGGCAACGCACTACGAAGGGGATGTTGAAGTGTGTCACCGGTTTTTATCGC